AACCTGTATTTCCCTTGCTGGGATTGCATTTTGCTTTAATTCTTTGACTTGTAACTCAACCACTGAACAGGCATTCCTTTCTGGTTCTAGATAAGATAGTTACTCATCAGCACTTCAGAAAGAATTTACCTTCCTCAGCCATCAATTAAGTGAGCATTTCTAAGGCAGGGCAATAAATCCAATGTGGGGATTAATGAAGCTTTAGAGAGAAATGGCTACTGCCTGCTATCTCCCCTGCTACATCCCCTCCCTCCTGGGAACTGTGTGAGTAAGCAGCTAGCTTGCAGGAATTTTGGAGAGAATAGTTGAGTGGTAGGTGCAGGGTAGAACTGAGGACTATGTGGGGATTTCAAGAAAGAGCTTGCATAGACAAAGACTGCAGGAGATGGCAGAGGGTGAAATATGAAAACTACATGAAGGAGGAACAAGCGGAGAGAACTGTTTGGTGCTGTATTTAGTGGGGAGGACAAAAAACAAGTCTTGATTCCCAAAGAGCAGGTACTGAGAAGATGTGGTACTGCTGTTTCCTAATCTGTTTCTGGTAAAATAGGCTAATAAATAGGTCAAAGCACTTATTTATACTGTTCAAGCTGATCTTCCTGGTTCTTAGCTGTAGATGATTAGGCCAGGCTAAAATGAATAGCCTTGCTACCAGAAATGTGGATTTGTAAATTTACTATAAGAAGTAGAAGAATACTGCCTTAAATCACTACAGCTGCAGTAAATTACCAAGACACTGCCTAAATAAAGAATTAAGGAATTCTTTTATTTCACTTTTACTCAAAGACCTAGAAAACTCATCTCTGAGTCGTCAAAGCTAAATAAACTTACTAGCTTTTGCTTTTTAAAAAGTAATTTAATTTAAAAATAGACAGATTATTGTGATTTACATCTTAGTTAAGGCTGCCTCCATAACCCACTTTAAATTAGGGAGGATAGACAAAACTTCCTCAAATTTACTGGAATGTAAATTCCAGGTCTGGATTGCTTCTTTGTGTCAAACTGACCAGGTAAAGGCATGAGAAATTTAAATATGTAACTGACTGTTCATTTAAGGCTCCTGCTTCTTGAGTTTGCTGATTTTTTTTCAGTACTTCAGTTAAAGATATTAAAAACCCAAGATATATTTAAATTGAGAAATTCTATGTGAATAGTAACAGAAGGTCACAATATGTTCAGAGAATTCAAATATATGAATGTTCTCTTATGAATACTTACTTCTTGTATAGATGGAGTTGCAGATGGGTTACCAGATGGAATACCTTCCTTCAAATATAGTTCCATGTATTTAAAAACAGATGCAATGCAATCATATTATTTAAATAAATTCTGTTACTGCTTTTGAAGCCACAATGACAGTAACTACTCTGTAACAGAGAGTGGCAAGAGGAATGTAACTTGCTCTGGAATTGTTGGGCTTGACTGACATCTAAAAAGTCTCTCTCTGAAAATGGGACCTTAATCAAATGCTCTTTTCTTTGAGAGATTGTTTGAATATCTAGCAGCATGCAGTAAAGTTCAGACAGGGCACTAGATGTCCAGGAGTGTATGAAACAGGACTGGATAAAAAGAAATTACAAGAAGAGCATTTGGGGACATAGCAACTGAGAAGTACTCTTCCTTCTTAACAAAAATAAATTCCCATGCCTTAGCCAGAGGCCCAGCACATCTTGGCAGAAGCATTCTTTTTTTTCACTGTCTCAGTCTTTTGCCCTTTGACTATCCTGCTTAGTTGAATGTTACAAATATTGATATCACCACAGCATAATATTAAAATATAAAACAAAAGAAAAATCCAGAGACCGGAAAACTGCGCAGAGAGTGAAAAACTAGAACACACTACCCCTGTATGCACCCTTTCTGTATTCACATATCATCTCATCAGCCTATCATACTTCACTTATGTCCTTATGCTCTACTAATGTTGGGTCTTTTTCCAGTCTGCCACTTACACCCCAGTGAAAAGACATCAGCTACCAAGAGCTCTTGTTCCAGTATCCTCACCTGCCTTCTTTCTCTTGACATGTCTTTCTCTTGACAGTCACCAATATAAATTCCAACATCCTTGTGGACAACCTTTTTGTAGAAAAAGCCACAGAAATTGGCAATAACAGTACTCATAGCAGGGAAGTTTCAGGGAGAGCAATCAGGGACACTTAGATACAGTTGCCCAGAACCATATCCAGATGGCTTTTGAGTAACTCCAAGGATGGAGGCTCCAAAGCTCTCTGGGAACGTTGTGGCAGTGCTCGGTCATCCTCACAGTGGAGAAGTGTGTCCTGATGTTCAGAGGTAACCTCCTATGTTTGGGAGTTTGGAGTCTGGGCCCATTGCCTCTGGTCATGGCACTGGCACCACTGAAAAGAGCCTGGATCTGTCGTCATTGCACTCTCCCTTCAGACATTTGTATACATTGATAAGTTCCTCCTCATGGAGCCTTCTCCATTCTGGACAGTCCCAGCTCTCAGTCTTTTCTCACAGGACAGATGCTCCAGTCTCTTCATCATCCCTGGGCCCTTTTTTGGACTCTCTTCAGTATGTCCATGTCTCTTTTGTACTTGGAGGCCCTTATCTGGACCCAGCACTCCAGATGTGACCTTACCAGTGCTAAGCAGACAGTAAGGATTATCTCCCTTAACCTGCTGGCTTTACAGAAGCATGTCAGCAATTTATTTAAATTGCCAAGTTCCCCAAAGTAAAATCTGAGATTTTCTTTTCCTGACAGAACTGGAAGAGAGTCAAAAGCTGTAGGTTCTCCATGAAGGTCAAGAGTTCTTTATCTGATCACATGTATCCCCTAGATACTTGGATGTTGTCAGTATTAATCCTACCAGATTCAACAAACTAAAAACATAATTCTGCTTTTAAAAATTGTCTTTCCTTGCCTTAGAAATTAAAATTCACAGTGCTGTTAAGCAATGACGCCAGTACATTTATGCATGTATATGTCTCAGCTCGAGGCTTTAAGTTCTTGAACTTGCTATGAGCCTGGAAAAGGAGGGAGTGGTAGGAGGAAGGACTGGAGTGACTCAGAATTCTTCAGTCCTTAGCACTGGTTATGTGTAACTGGAGGCTTCTGAAGCAACCCCAGACCTCCTGTTCTGTCTGGGCCATGTTTCAAATTTTTTATGTCTGATATTCAACTTTGAATTTCCAGGCATGTTCTGATTTGCCTGTTTTGAAATACATGCAATGTATACATGAAATGTAAAGTATAAGCCAGAGTATAAGAGCCTTTGGGACTAGAACTGGGTTTTACTTTTGTATTGCCTGCCATAGTGGTCTTGTGGTGCACTATCAGGTGTTACAATACAACAACAACAACAACAACAACAACAACAACAACAACAACAACAACAACAATAATAATAATAATAATAATAATAATTGCGCAGCTGATCTGACAAAAGAGTTATGACAAGTCAAAAAATTTTGAGTCTTTTAAAGACTCTTTAGAATGTGTTAAGGATACAGAACCCCAAAAGGGAAAAAACTAAAGCAAGGCAGGTTGCAGAGCGGTCCCAGCTCTGTGCACCAGAGGGAGCTGGAGCCACACAGAACTGCAAGTCCCGGTGTGCGCCAGGAATGCAGAGCAGGGATCTTGTTCTTGTAATAGGATGAATAAAAATACAAGGGATTTGCACAACCTGAAAGTGATTTTATTTTCTGCCTGTTTCTTTTCTTTTCCTCTAAATTTTTTCTTGCCATTAGAAAGAGTATATTTTGTTTTGGTTTGTATTGCAAGAATGATAAAGTAATTTCAAAGATAGAGATCAAGCATGCTGATTGAATAATATGGTTTATTGTGTTCATGCAATGTAATAGAATTAGCTATATCTACTCTGTTTTTATTGTCCTGGGAAAGGTAATTTGACTATGCTATTTTGACTTCTCATAACTATAGAAAACGCTCACATTTTAGATTGAAAAAATCCTTGCCTTGTCCCCATACAAAGCTGAAATTTGAGGTAACATTTGAAATTAAGAATATACCTAATAACAAAAGAAATATTAAAATCATATGCTTCACATTAAAAAGAACCCACTTAACTTTTTTTATTAGCTTTCATGTTGGTGTTTTGTTTTTGTATGGTCATAATTATATAATCATAAATATACTTTATATTTTTGTGATCAAAACATTTTATTAGGTATTTGACCATAACTGTATCATATATGTGATCATAATACCATATATATGTGATCATAAATATATTTTATAGATATATACTTCATATGATCACAATTATGCAACCCACAACTCCCATCCTCCTGGCTCTGCTCATGCATGGTGGGGGATAAATGTGAATGAAGGAATGTGAATTTGAGCCTGGAAACAGGGTGGCAAGGGAAAGGTGGGGTTTTTTTTTTTTGTCTTGGTTTCTTGCCATCCAAATTTCTTTTAATTAGTTATAAATTAAATTAATTTTCCCCAAGTTACATCTGTTTTGCCCATGACAGTAATGGGTAAGGGATCACCCTATCATTATATTGATCTATGAGCTTTTCAGTTTATTACTTGGTTCTGAGGATGATATACCAAGAAAAATAGGGGGTTTTAAGTCTCTAGCATTTATAGTCTTCTCTGTTTCAAATGTAAAGGAATGGCTGTCCAGGTTTTCACAGTGTAAGAGTAGAAACTCTACCAGAATAAAAGACAACATTCTACATCTTCTGTTTTGATATAAAAATTTACAAGAACTCATGACTAAGTCCTAAAGGGACTTCTTCACTTAATCCTGTTTTGGAAGAGATTATGTAGTAAACCTAAGCTATGGCTGGTCTTAAAGAAATGAAATTTAGAGCAAGAGATGTTTTATATTTAAAATAATTTAATATATTTGCATGGGGGAAAAAAAAGACAAACTTAGTGCCCTATCAAGAATAAAGCACAGAAAAACAACTAACTAAATACACAGTTGTCCCAAATTTTTTGGTGTCACTAACTCTTGGATATATCAGCTTTTAAACTCATGAATGTTTTATTTGCTCTTTCATAGATCTTCCTGAGAGATAAACAATTGGATACTGGACAACAAAAGAAGTAATCAGACTCCACTGACCTGTTTAACCCTGATTGTGAAGGATGAAAAGCAGCAGCTGCTTTCTGTGGAACAGGGCTTCTGGTGGCACTTACATCTTTCCTTCGGGATGATATTGGCATAAAGACATCAAGGTATTGAACTCATAATGTTGTGAGTTTATACATGCCAGACTGTGTTCCATCACTTTTTGAAGCAGGTATGTTCTTTAAATAAGAAATAATTTGCCTTATTTTTCAGCACTAATCCAAATGAACTATGGGTATTGTAAGAAAAAAAGGCATATCATTGCAACCTCTGTATAAGATACTTAATGCTGGGTAATATAAAACTGGTACAGAAAGAGCTGAAGTTAACTGGGGCTCCATCTTCTTAGGTGATGTGGAATTGTTACCAGAATTTGGATTGTGTTTTAATAATTTTATTGTCTTTCAAGGAAGAAAACATCTTGGCTTTGGTCTACTGGAACAAAAATACACAGCTCACTGTTAGGATTCTAATGTAACTTCAGCCATCAGGATTGTATCTAGCACTAAAATTGTGACTGTTACCTCTTCCTTAATAGGGAAAGTTTAACTTTTTCTAGAAAAGTATTGTCTCAATGCATTTTTAGTATTTTATAGGATTGCTTTAAATAAGTAAGAAATAATTTTGAATAGCTAAAGTTAAAGCTTCAAGTTGATTAATCGCTAGTAAGACTGAATAGGCTATTGAGTCTAAATTTCCATAGCTGACTAGGTTATTAAAATTATTTTATGAGAAAGCACAAATTACATGACTTGGTAGTTCTTCAAAATTAAATCCATTTTAACTTTAGCTTATGCTTCAGGGCTGCCATGTAGCTGACTAGAATTATGTCACAGATGTTTTAACTAATGCTGTATATTTGTGACTTCACATGGCTACTACCACTGTCTTGTGCTTTAATAGGCTTCCTATGCCTTGCATGATTCCAGTGCCAGGATAGATCCCAGAATTATGCTAAATATGCTCTAGGTATGCCACCATGAACAAAAAGCATGGTAGCTACTGCAGGTGGTAAAGTAGTATTTAGATACTCACATGCAATTTCATTTTCTGTATTGTTAACTTGAACCCTAAAGTTCAGTACATTTAGCTGAGGGATTGTTTACAACATTTAAAAATAGACAGGTATTTTTTTTCTTTCAGTAGGTCAAAGGTTGATCAGAAAAAGAAAACATCAAGGTAAACACTATGTGCCAAAATTACTACATGGATTATGGCTCTCTGAGTACTTACGTGGTATTTGATCTTTTTCATACTGAATACACCAAAGAACTTAAAAGTGTTACACACTTGTTTCTGAACAAAATGTGACTTAGTAAATAATATATGAATAATGTCATGATAGTGTTTCTAGCTCAGCAATGAGAAGGGTGTAATAAAAGAGGGAATAGTCTTACCTAACAAAGCAGGTTTACAGAAATTTTTCTTATGACTTGGGTTACAGCTCACTTTTAGGCTTTTTCTGTGATCACTTTTCGACATTTGGAGTGGAATCCAACATTCAAAGAAAGCCAGTTGTGGTGAGAGTTTTCTTGTGGCAAGTCTGCCATCAATAAGCTTATGAATCATAGATATCTATATCTTGTGGTTTAAATTATGGTTTATGTAAAATCCTAGAATGGTTTGAGGTGGAAGGGACTTTAAAGGTCATCTAGTTCCAACCCCCTACCCTGGGCACTTCCACACACCTTCCACTGGATCAGGCTGCTCTGAGCCTCATCCAGCCTGGTCTTGAAAACCTCCAGGGATGAGGCAGCCACAGCTTCTCTGGGCGACCTGTTCTAGTGCCTCACCACCCTCACAGAGAAGAATTTCTTCCTAATATCTAATCTAAATTCAGCCTCTTTCAGTTTAAAGCCATTCCCACCGGTCCTATTACTACAAGTAAAACGTCCCTCTCCAGGTCTCTTATAGGCACTCTCTAAAGTACTGGAAAGCTGCTAGAGGGAGTTTCTGCTGTTTGAATTGCTTTGTGTCATTGCCTAGCATTAGCTAGGTCTGGTTTAAAAATGTTTCATTCTTCAAATCCAAAAGGATGAACTGTGCACTGTAAGGAGGTAGTCAAGCCACTCAATGAATGGAATTCACTCCACTGGTTCTCAGGGTCATGGGTTGGGAGTCATGGAATCAATCAGGTTGGAAAAGATCTCTGAGATCATCAATTCCAATCTATGACTGAACACCACCATGTCAACTAAACCATGGCACAAAGTGCCACATCCAGTCTTTCCTTAAACACTTCCAGGGACAGTGACTCCACCACCTCCCTGGTAGCCCCTTCCAATGTCTAATCACTCTTTCTGTGAATAAATTCTTATGTCTGACTTAGACCGCCCCTAGTGCACCTTAGAGATTGTGTCCTCTTGTCCTGTCACTGGTTACCTGGGAGAAGAAACCAACCCCCACCTGGCTACAATCTCCTTTCAGGGAGTTGTAAGGAGTGGTAAGGTCACTGTTGAGCCTCCTTTCCTCCAGGCTAAACACCTGCAGCTCCTTAGCTGCTCCTCATGAGACTTGTGCTCCAGACCCTTCACCAGCTCCATTGCTCCAGCTCCATTGCTCTTTTCTGAATTTGCTTCAGCACATCAGTGTTCTTCCTGAATTGAGGGGCCTGGAACTGGACACGGTACTCGAACCATCCTGAGCATACTGTAGAGATAATAGGGAGAAAGTGTTTTTCCAGTTGTTCTCAGAATCTGTGTCTCTTGACAATATAAGGAATCTAGTTTAATTCAGAATCAAATTTAATTACAATTTAAGCACCTAAAATTGGTTAGGCTGAACCTGAATCCTTGCGTTAAGAAAGCAAAAATTCTTCACTTTGTTATATTAGCTAATACTCAGAGGTACAAAGCTCTAACCCTGCTGTAAGAAGTCAGTAGCCTCAACAAATAGTAGAATAATTCTCCTAAAACTTAGAAAAGACAAATGTAAACAAATACAAATAAAACTAGGTGGAACTATAATGCTTGGGTATTAATGTTAGCAAATTCATCTATTCATTTCAGTTACAGCAACATCAAGTTATTAATATGAACAGTGCTACAACACAAAAGCTTCTGTTCTTTCATTTTTACTTTTCCATTTTATCATTTTTTCCTAATTGCAAAATATATTAAAGGACAGAGGATAATATAGAGGAGTTTTTATTCTAGTTTTACTTTCATGTTTTTTTAACCTTTTGCTGCCTGATAAAAATCTATTAAAATGAACAATAAGAAATACTATCTATATATACTTGCAGTCCCTGGTATTTTAAATTATGTTCTACATTAGCAGCTTTGGTAATGCACTGCTATCATGGCTGAACAAAGGCAACGTGCTTTGTCAACATCAGGTGAAGCGCTATATGACATCCTGGCACTAGAGAAGGGAGCAACACATGATGAGATTAAAAAGTCCTACAGGTATGTAAAATGTGCTTTGCAACAGATGTAAAAATGCTTATTTGTCTGGTATGATTATGATGGTAAAACCTTTTGAGTTACATGTACATTAGATATTCATTGTCACAATTGTTTCTTTTTTTTAAAATTTGTGAGCCTGAAAATAATCATGATGCAATGTGAATCTACCACAGGCAGTCTGTGATTTACCTAAAATGTTTTAATCTGAGTGAATGAGAGGTCAGACTGTTGGGATAAACCTGGGGTATTTGAATACTGCACCCAGTTCTTATGTTAGTACCTTCCCTGAAGTACCTTGAAATGCAAAGCCAATGCAAGTGCTGTAATGACAATTTGAGAACTAGAGTAAGAGACATAAGGAGTTCAATCAGTTTATCTTGTCAGAAAAGAAAAAGAAGATTACTTAGAATAAAAGATTGATTTAGAAGGCAAGAAAAGATAGATTATTTGATTATAGTGTGGAATATCCTTGACGGGGAAAATTGCTAGGTGTGAGATAGTTGTTCACTTCATGAAGGCAGGCATAACCTAAATCAGTGCTCGGGATCTGAAAATGATTTGAGCTGAAAAAGAGGTACATGGTTTTAACTGTGAGTGTAACCAACTACTGAAAAATACTGGCGCAGGAATGGTACTTTCTCTATTGAAGAAGAAGAGAGGACATTAAGAATAGTTTGAGTCAAACACAAGTTATCAAAATGGTGGCAAATATTTTATTGCTGAAATGTAACAAAACCTAGAAGTAAGACTAGAAGATTTTACGGTAATTTTGCCCTTAAATTTGCTCAGCTGCCCTTAAAAGAGAAAGAAATTTCAATGTCATGTGTGAAGTAGATGTTCTTGACACTGAAATAAATATACTTGTAGGTTTAATAAATATTGTAAAACTTTTATTACAGCATCATTCTGGGTATTGTTGGTTGCACTATATTACCAGGCAAACTTAACACAGCTTGCTTTTCCTATCAAATGCAAGAATACATATGATCTCAAAAAGGTTTATTAAATAGATCTACTTGCATCATTATTTAGCTTGAATTTTGGCAAGGCTCTGTCCTCCATGTTTTTGAACAAATTGCGTTTCTCCTGCTTTCTGTTCCTAAAGGCACATATTCAATGGAAGCAAAAGGAGTAAATGTCCAAACTCTTCATACAATGGAAGGAGAACTGTTGACATTCCATGGTTCTGTTGTCTTGTGTAATTATACCACTGGAAAAAAAGCATACTATGGTATCAAATTCACTTATGACTTGCATCTTCTGTGTTCCTGTAGTACAGCCTGGCTATAGAAATCATCTTCTGTTTCAAACTTCATGATTTCCAGTTGCTTTTACATTTAATTTTCTGGAAATCCCCAAAGGAGAAAGTTGTCATGGAAGAATGTAGAATGCAATTAACTTTATTTAATGCTGAACATGAATATGGATGATTTACACCGTGATCTATGGCAAAACTGACAGTGATACTTCCTCCATCTTTATTAGTAATTAAAGAAAAAAAAAAAAGGCTGCTTCTGACTAAAGTGGAAATGTCAAAGGGATTCACTTTTAATGGAGTAGCTGTAAATATTTGCAAGACAAAATGATGAGTCAGTCTCGTAGATTTGCTTTAATTATAATTTAATTCATGCTAATCCAAAAATCTGCTGCTGAAATGGTATTCTTTAGTACAAGGTATAAAACCAGCCATACCTGATTCTGAGTTTCCTGCCATTATTAATTAAGTCACTGTTAATTATACTGCCACAGCCCAGGGCAAAATTTGCTTTTTCATAAACATGACAGACATGACTCTGTGATTTTATTTGGAGTTTGGCACAATCTAATTTATCAGGGAGTAAAGCTAATAGGCTTTTAATCAGCACAATTTCAAAGGAGATCTGTTTATCTTCAATATAATACAAAAATAATTTTAGAACTTTTTTTTTGGCATAAAAAATTAAACTGTACTTTGACTTATGCTTTCTTGTCTGAATATATGAAGTAATATGCAGAGATATAGACAATGGATTTCTTTTCTTCAGAAGTTTCTAAAGATCCTATTTGATAGACTACTTACAAGAACATCATAGAATCATAGAGTGCTTTGTGTTAGAAGGGACCTTAAAGATCATCTAGTTCCAACCCTCTGCCCAGGATTGCTCAGACTAGACCAAGTTGCTCAAAGCCTCATCCAATCTGGCCTTGAACACTTCCAGGGAACACCCACAGCTTCTCTGAGCAACCAATTCCAGTGCACCACCAACCCCACAGTGAAGAACTTCTTTGTAATATCTAATCTAAATTTTGCCTCTTTCCATTCCTAGCCATTTCCCCTTGTTCTATCACTACACGCCCAAGTCAAAAGTCCTGCTCCAGCTTTATTGTAGAACCTCCCTAAGTACTCCCTAAGTACTGTAAGTACTGTCATACTAAAGATTTCTCTTTTCCAATCTGAATAATCCAAATTCTTCTGGCCATTCCTCCTAGGAAAGGAGCTCCATCCTGCTAATCATTGTGGTGTGCCTCCTCTGGACTTGCTCCAAAAGGTCAACACCTCTGTGACAGTACATTGGTGATTAAGAATTTTATTAGAAAATGTGTACAGTTCTCTTAATGCCATTTAATTACTAGCAAGCAAGGAGGGAAAATGGCTTACTCATGGCTCTGCCAATGGCTTCTTCTGCTTCTGATACAGCCTCTGGGTCCACCCAAGGCTCCCCACAACCAAGAGAGGACACAGCTATGATCCAGGCAAGGGAATGAAAAGCATTGGAGAATGCGGGCATCGATCCCGCTACCTCTCACATGCTAAGCGAGCGCTCTACCATTTGAGCTAATTCCCCACCCTGCAGCCTCTGACTGAGGTCCTCTCCCCTCCCAGGCACCCAGCCTTGACCCAGGAGGCCTTTGCCCAAAGCCCAGGCCTCCCACTCGCTCAATCTCATACCACCAACTCATTCCTGCCTCACATTCCTGCTGGAGGTGACTGCAGACAACCCCCATGGTCAGAATCATCATCCTCTGCCCAAGGGTTCACCAAAAAATGCCTTGGCTGGTTGTCTTCCACGGTTTAGGCAAGAGCTCATGGCTGAGCAGCTCATTCTGGGGAGTCTCCTGGGCAGGACCAGAAAAAGGCAGCAGTGCCAGTGCAGGATGTGTGCCAGAGCCAAAAGATGACTCCTTCGAGCCGGAGTTGAACCAGCGACCTAAGGATGGCCGTGCAAGGGAGCCTACAGTCCTCCGCTCTACCAGCTGAGCTATCGAAGGAAGCATGGGGACATGCCCAGGCAGACCTCACCCAACACTTTTCCCAAGCCAGAGAGCATCATCATGCCTCTAATTACCACATCCTTCTTCAAACAGCCTCAGCTGAGACATCACAGCTCCTTGCTCAACCCTTAAGCCCATCAGTCATGCAAACCACAAACAGAAATGCTCCATAAGCTCCTTGGATGTCATCTTCTACAGATGGACTCTCCTTAGGGCCACACAGAGCTTACCTATATACGGCTACATTTTCTCTTGATTCCCTTTCACTGTGCTGTCTTTTGCTCTCTGCTCAAGCACAAGACAAAATGAAATTATAGCTATTTCCCTGTTCTGCAACCTACATTTAAGTGCCCCAAGGTCGTCCACAAGTCCTCAGAACCTGTCTCTCTGTAAACTGAACATTCCCACTCTCTTCAGCCCATCCTTAAAGAGAAATCCAGTGATTCTGTGAGATTTTTGGTGGTCCACCACTGAGGTTGTTCCATTTCTTTGACATCCTTTTCTATACTGGGCTTGATATTTGAGAACTGCCAAGCTGTCTTGATTTACGTCAAGCTAAGGGGGTAGACACTTTAAAATTAGTTACATCCCATTTATTTTTAGCCAATTCCCTTCCACCAATAAGTAGAGATGAACATGAGGAGATATCAATAAAAAGTAACAGTTTACTAAAAATGTGAAATAGCAACAGGCAAGAAAAATAAGAATGATCACTGATTACAAGGTTTCTAAATTTCACTGACTGCCTGGGCACAAGGAGAAATTAAAAGTGGTAGAGAAAGCCCTCTGCCCAAGATGGGCCCTCCATGAAGGATTGCGTGTGGAGAGACAAAGATGGTGGCAGCCCTCCCCCTCTTTTGACTGCATGTGGACAGAAAGAAGAAAAAGAGAGAAAAAAAAAAAAACCAAAACAACACAGATCCAAACCTCCATGACTGCAAAAACTCCCCCTAAACAACAAGTAACAGAGAACTCAGGCAAAACAAAAAGAAAGCCTTTAGTCCAAAGCAGACAAATCCCCTTCCTATTTCTCTGGTGGCAGCAGCTCTGTCAAAAAAGGTACTCCAGCAGCTGGAACTCTATCCAGCTGGAACTCATAGAGGGACTTCACCTTTTCATGAGGAGACACAGCAGGCAGCAGCAGGAGCAACTTGGACTCCATGCCTTCCCACTTCAACTGAGCACTGCTGGCAGGTTGGGGTAACCACGCAGAGTGGGGCTGTTGCCCTTTTCTTGATGTAATGTGACTGTAGACAGGTGAGATCTGCTTTGAAGCAATCCAGAACCACAAAATCCTTGGAAACCTGAAGCAACCCTCTCAGGAAAGAAAACAAAAGAAAACCAAGGCAGTCTCCACCCATGCTGCCTCGGCTCTCTCCCTGTGAGAACGAAATGGAAAGAGCAAAAACCAAGAGGTAAGAGAGAGCTGTCTATGCCTGAGAGATTCTGGCTTTTAAAAGACTTGGCAATGCCCCAGCCCTGCAGTTCCATTTCCAACCACAAGGTTTTCAAGAGACAGTAGCAATTTTGGGCACAGATGGATATAAAATATGATAACATCTTGGGTTACCCAGAACACAAGCAAAGAAGAAAATCAATTAATCCATTAAACTGCCCATAGTGCTCTTGATGTCATCCTCCTCTGCTTAATCCAGGGCACACCATAAATCTCCCCACAGCCTCCCTAGAGATCAGATGGATCCCTGGCAAAGGACCCTGTGTCCAGGCAAGGGAATGAAAAGCATTGG